ATGTTGTAGCTCTTGAATCTGCTTTTGAAGGTCAGAGTTCTGGATCGTTAGTTCTGTGTTCTTCTCGATGACGCGGGCCAGCTGAGACTCCTATAGGAAGAACAAACATTTCAGAGAAGGCAGAACATTGCTTTAGCGCAGGAACATCGTCGAACTATAATAAAACTGTTTAGAAACAACTTGTCTAACAATTTAGATTAGGAATGGAGAAGAACACTGACACAAGGAAACCAGCAAAGGGTTAAAAAAAATTGTATACCTGCAACTGGAACGGAACTTGGAGGTGCTGGCTGGGGGAATGAGCAGAAGACAAATATCCCAACGTGGGGAAACGTACAAAAATAAATGTTAGCGTCGTCTTAGAAGAGGCGATAACGATACACAACAACGTTCTAGAATAGCTCATGTGATGTAAAACATATTTTGACTGGAACCAGAAACATAAAATAGCAGCACCGTTCACGTTAGTAAATGATGAAACTGGAAACTTAATACCATATATAGTAGGTAATGCTACAAATAATGAAATTAATGTTTCCAACAGAATTAATGGGAACACAATTTAGTCATATCTATCTTTAATAAATATTTCATATATATTAATATTTATTTAGGTTAACAATTGTTATATGTATTAATAGCTTATTTCCTAAATCAAGTAATACCGCTAGTTTAATTAAATGTATAAAAGAACTAATTTCAATTACAGTTGACTCAGTTTTTATTTTTAATCCATTATATTTACATATAGTGGCTATGAATTTTTGTGGACCCTACTTTGGCTGGTGCATATATATGTTGGTTTAAGAAAAAATGGTTTGATCATATTTGATCCATTATATTTTCAACCTATGGTTCATTAAAACAAATGTTGATGCACTTTTGTTAGTTATTCTTTTCACATTATAATATTAAATTCATGGTTCAGAATAATAATAATAAAACATAAAAATTCATCTCTTGAACCGACAAAAAAAAGTTACTTCTGACTGTAGTAAGCTTACTCTCACTTTATTAGAGCGTGTTCGATCAATATTAGGGATAATTCAGTGAAAACAGTAATCAGAATATGTTATTTATTATATTCTGATTGGCTTACTTCTAAGTGTGAAATAATTTTTTAAGGAACCTCGTCCCATATTAATGGATCATTCTATCACATTTTGATAATAGATTCCCCTCGCGTTGATTACATTGATGAAAGTCCCTAAACACAGTCAATGTTTTCTTGCCGTTTTTTGGTTATTTAAAAATATGATGTAGAAACAGTTCTCTAGCTTTCATATAATAATTAAAAAATTTAGTGAAATATTCGTAATTTATAATTAATGTGAAATATTTGAGAATAAATGATTATACAATTTTTTTTTAACACACTGCACCATTTCTAATGTTCTGACTGAAGCAATTAAATAGGAAGTTTATTTCAGAACGTTTTAATCGGGGAAAATTTTTATATTGCAATTGAATACTCTTAACTGAACCCTCCCAGTCATTGCGTGGAGCTATTGACAAAATTTAGACCACAACTTTCACTTAAATGTTTTATAAACAAAATGGGAGTCTATTTAAAGATATAAATATATTTGAAAGTCTGCATATGAAATAAAATAATTCACTACTCAAAAGTTCTAAGCCGTTTGTTTCGTTATTTTTGTTCAAATTTAAAAAAAAAAGTAGAAAATTCAGATTAGATTTTACCTTTACCTGCTGTTCCAGTTTTAATTTACCTTTATTGCATGTGGTGTTATTTCACGCTGATTTAGGATTATATATTTGTTTTATACTGAAACACTAATGATCACGGTTTTAATCATTTCTGTATATAACATTTGTGAATGATTACTATATATATGTATATTTCTAATTTCCGTCACGTTTTGTCATGATTACTAGGCCAAGTAATGCGACATTATGTACACACAAATGCACACAAACTGATAACAAAAAATGCAACACTTGCAATCAAAGCCCAAAACACAGAAAGCAAGAGCTCATAGTTCCTAAAACAAAATAGCAATCAAGTACACACATGAAACATTTATAAAACACAACATGTATGACGGAAACATTAGCAGATGTTGACTAAAACAGAGGAGCATAAATAAAAAGAAAGGTGCAAGATTTTTATCAGTTATCAGGCAGCAGTTGATGAGGACAAGAGAGAATAAAAGCAAGAGAGGCCAAGTCAAAGACAGATAGCTAGAGGAAAGAATCGGTAGAGTAAAAGATGGGTAGGAAGTGCAAAAGAAAGAAGGGGAAAGGAAACTATGCTTACGTACAATAACGTAATGGAAATGACAAAGCTTTCTTGGTAAAGAAAACAATGGGAAACCTACACAATGACGAAGCTAGAGCGAATGATGAGAAGGTAAACGCAAGAGGGAAGCGTTGAAAGTTACAGTGTGAGATAAAAACAGAGAAAATACAAATATTGATGAAAGAACTTAGGTATACTTGGACGTAATAATGAATGACAGCAGCGTGACGACATGAAGATGAAGGCAACGACAGAATAATGAAGGGGTAAGATAAGTGACAAAAGTTATTATGTGAAGACTAAAAAAGGAAAGATGGGAAAGAGAGAGCAAGTGAAAATAAAGAGAATAGACTGAAGATATTATGATTGATGAAGATGATATGATTGATGAAGATGATATGATTGATAATGTTATGACTGATGAAGATTTTATAATTGATGAAGACGAAGTTAAAGTAAATGAAGGAGTAAACATACAGGAAGCAAGCACGTAACACTAAGCTATATGGACGAGGACTGTTCAGAAGCTGAAAAACAGACAGATGACTGGAAGGAGAGAGAGAGAGAAAGAGAGAGAGAGAGAGAGAGAGAGAGAGAGAGAGAGAGAGAGAGAGAGAGAGAGAGAGAGAGAGAGAGAGAGAGAGAGAGAGAGAGAGAGAGAGAGAGAGAGAGAAAGAGAGAAAGAGCGAGAGAGAAAGAGAGAGAGAGAGAGAGAGAGACAGAGAGACTGAATAAATATATAACAGACATAAAAACATTAATAAAAACAAAAAATTCAATACAAAACTAAAGACCAGCCAATAAACTTTAAGATCAACAATGGCAGTATGACGTCACCTGGCGTGGGTGGCTGTGGGCGGCATCCTGGGCGGCGTGGAGAGGAAGAGAAGCGTAGGTCAATACTTATCACAATGTGTATTAATTATATGTGGCTGAGACACTCGGTAAATGTTGGAGTAACATCTGTTATGTTAATGTTATCGCTAATGTGTACGTCACTTCTGTTATATATAAATATCTCAAGAACAACTGCACTCTGTTCAATTATCTTTACTAAAGCGGGTTCGTTTATAAGTCAGTTCTAATCAGTATTTACAATTAATAATTTTGTTATGCGAAGTTGAGTTGTTAACGTGACTATATTCTAGTCGCCCTCCTGTTACGGAAATTAACTTAAAAATTTAGAATATATCGGATGATACGAGAATCTAGCATAGAGAATAGCATAGGGAATAAACATTTGAATGTCATGTGTATTTGATCTTGTTTATTGGTACATTTGTGAGAGGGAGGTGTATAGGTTTAAAAGGAAAAGGTGGGATTATACACAGACAACCCGCAGGATTTCTGTACTGGACAGCCTGTAAGTTCGACACTGCTTCGGGTGCTCAATTTGTCTAACCTTTTAAATTTAATTAATTACTTTAGATAAAACCGTGGACAGGAATCCAAATTTGTTTTGCCTTTTTTTTACCACAGATTCAATTTGAGAGTTATGAGGTGTCATGTAGCCATAACATGGAGCTGTTTTGCAATATTTTGTAGATGTGCATTTTACTAAGGTATTAATTTTACCGCACTTTTCACACATCTAGCAGAGTTCAGACGTAACTCGCCTAATATTAATCGATGAATGTATGTCAAATTTTCCAAAAATTTTGACTACAGTTATGATTATAATAATTATTATTAACACACATAAATCACATTAACGTAATATGTATATCAATGAGAAAATCCACCGGGACTATAGGTGGATGTAGGGAATATAGTGGTATAGTACGCAACTGGCAATGTCGGGGTCGCAGGTTCGAACCCACCTATAGTCCCAGTGGATTTTCTCATAATTATTATCGGTTTTTTTATTATTATTGCTGTTTTATCATTACTTGTTAGTTCTTTTGGCTGTGGCATGATATAACCACTTTTTATGTAAAATTCTATATAACAGCAGTGGTGATATATAAATGTAGTGAATGCTATATCGTGAATTAATTCATTAATATACAAAATATCTGAATATTACGTTATGTATAAAGCAATAAACTATATGGCATTTGAATACCATATTGTGCTTAAATCATTAATTTTACAGGATATTTTAAATTACTGAAGTAACTAATCTTAATACTACAATTAGTGTTGCTGCTTTTACTACCACTACGAGAGATTTACTGCTACCCTTTAAACTATTTCTTCAATATTCACTACAATTACTGTTACTACTACTGCAACCATCACTCCTACTTACGATAAAATAAACTGTTTAAAAGGATTACAAATTTAAATATAGTATCATTCATAAGTGTTTTAATAAGTGTATACCAAAAACTTTAAAATTTATTCTACAAAAAATATCATAACGCTCATTTACTCATTAATATTTTATATGTACTGCATTCCGTAGAGGTTTTACCGAAAATAATCAGAGCAAAAGTCGATCTCGAAATTCAGATGAATCAATAATTATACTTTATTCAATTATGTGGTTGAAACCTATTTGATAGTTGGGTCATTACCCAGTAATTTGGGAGTTCATCGAGTCCACTTACCACCATCGCTCAGTTATCCTGTTGCAATAATCAAGTTCTTTATAGCAAGTGATAAGAAGTTTATCTCTACTGTAACACGTACACTTTATTCCATCATTCTTTGTTAATGATAATGATTCATGAATTTTGATGCTACTATTGTTAATGGCGCTGCTGCAGTTGCTGGTATAATTGCTGCAGCTACTGTTGTTACTGGTGCTGATGGGGCTTTTGATGATGGTCGTAATGCTGCTTGTGGGATGACTAACCACAAAGCAAGCTAACTTCAACACTGCAAATAATTCATCCTCTTTAAACTGAAAGAAGCCCTTGTTGCGCCGAGATAAATACGACCGAGGCGTTTATTAGCCTTGTTTCTAAACAGGAAATTGATCAAGACAATTATTGAATTCTTAATCTCCTTAATCACCCATTAATGTCGACACCAACAAACGAGCCATTAATGTACAAACTAGGAGAGGGAGACTGTTACTGAACACGCTGCAGATTAGCAGTTAACATGATAAGCTGGAGGATGAACACCCACTAGTATCCCAGATAGCTGAGAGACGGAGCGGATCAAGAGAGAGCAAGAGAGAGGGTGAGAGAGCGAGAGAGGCGGTGAGAGCGAGAGACAGGGTAAGAGAGCAAGTGAGGGAGTTAAATAAAGAGATTTACTCCGGAAAATACCTTGTAATTATCGGCTGTATAATGAAACTAGTAGAGTGGTTGCCTATGCTAACTACAGCTAAGATAATTTCGATACTTTCGACATAAAGGTTTTAAACAGCTGCCAGAAAACTTAACTAAATCAGGCTGTTCTCACATGATACAAAAACTGATAAGCATGTGCTTCATCCTCAACAGTATATCATAATTAGCCAGTGACGTGAATTACAATGATCTCCAACTCGTACGTTCAATAGGATCACACGGACAAGTAACAAGATTTACACACTGAACTATTTTAAGAATAAGCTTTACACAATGAGTTAAATTAATTTATGAGCCTTAGTTTTTTAAGTATTTAATAAGTGACGATCATCACTTGACAACAGTTGTCAGTCAAGAATAGTAATAATTATGAAAATTTTATAATCAATACTGCAAATTTTCTCCATTTAAAATTATGCAGTTTATTGGTGACTATGATACTGAAGGTACAGTACTATTTTATACTGACATTTGATATTAAGTTCCTCTTCCAGTATGACCAGTAATAATTTCCTTCGGAGACGTTTGTTATGAACTGTGTACTTTGATAGGCTAGATATGCATATGTATGTTGTACAGTATTATGGGCATAGCTACCTGTAGTTCGTGTAGTGAGGCAGATGAAATGGTTTATCTTTTTACTAATACTACAAGTCACACCAATTTTAAAATACTCACTGCTTGTTAGTACAAGCAAAAACCAGTTCGCTTTTTTGGCATTTTAGAAGCCATGTAGCCCTCACACACATTGCAAGATCAATAAAGGTCTTCCAGACGCCTTAAAACTTTTGATGTTTCTTGTTAAGACTTGGAAAACTTCCAGTCTGAGAGCTTCCAAGTCACCAAATAATTTGAAGTTTTCCTCCCAAACATGCTCATGTGTCGTCACCGAGGTCACAAAAGCCAGACAGTGAAGTCTGGAGCCCCGGGAGACTTACCAGATCGTGGCAAAGTTCGTTCTTAAGCTTTAGCTTCTCCTTGAGGGTGACGCACTCGAGGTCCTTCTCCTGCACGTGTCGCTGGAGGGTGTGGTGCTGGCGGGTGAGCAGCTCCAGGTCCTCCAGCTGCTGCCTCAGAGTGTTATTGGTCTCCTCCAGCGACGCCAGCCGCCCCACGTCTGCCTCGCCCGACCCTCCGCGGGACAGACCCTGAAGGAGGAAAACATTTTTCAAATATATGAAACGAAGTTTTACTTATAGACACAATAAAAAACACTTGATTAGCACCAAGGAAAATAAAATTAAGAATCATTTTTTTTAACAAAAGGTTGTTCATTTTCATTTGTTCATTTTCTCGTTTGTTCATTTTCTTCTTACCCGACGGGAAATCTTATTAAATTATGACCTAAGGGGACCCTAAGCATTCCGTATAATAGGCTATGTGTGCTTTCCACCGAGGCTAAGAGTCCCCTTCTTCCAGTCAGAGGTGGTACTCCCATCTAAAAAAATAGAATATATATATATATATATATATATATATATATATATATATATATATATATATATATATATATATATATATATATGTCGTACCTAGTAGCCAGAACGCACTTCTCAGCCTACTATGCAAGGCCAAATATGCCTAATAAGCCAAGTTTTCCTGAATTAATATATTTTCCCTATTTTTTTTCTTATGAAAAGATAAAGCTACCCATTTCATTATGTATGAGGTCATTTTTTTTTATTTTAGTTAAAATTGACGTAGATATATGACCGAACCTAACCAACCCTACCTAACCTAACCTAATCAATCTTTATAGGTTAGGTTAGGTTAGGTAGCCGAAAAAGTTAGGTTAGGTTAGGTTAGGTAGGTTAGGTCGTCGAAAAACAATAATTCATGAAAACTAGGCTTATTAGGCAAATCGGCCTTGCATAGTAGGCTGAGAAGTGCGTTCTGGCTACTAGGTACGACATATATATATATATATATATATATATATATATATATATATATATATATATATATATATATATATATATATATATATATATATATGACTGAAAACTCACACCCCAGAAGTGACTCGAACCCATACTGCCAGGAGCAACGCAACTGGTATCTACATGACGCCTTAATCCGCTTGACCATCACGACCAGACATAAGGAAGTGATAGCCGAAGCTATTTGAACCACTTCCCCGCCGGCACTCGGATGGTAATCTTGGGCATAGCATATTATCAAATCACCTCATTCTTTGGGGTACACGTGAGGAACACAAATGCGAACAAGCCTGAATGGTCCCCAGGACTATATGCGACTGAAAACTTGTCTTGCCTATATAATGAGTTGTTTGGGGCTTACAGTCCTCAATTGGGCAGGTTAAGGCATACCTTCGGGGTGCGGGTACAGCTCACCTGAACCTAACTGGTCCGCTGACCACTACACCATGCTGATCCTCTGCATGGATCCTCTCGTTGAGATGTAAATTTCGCCGTAACCACATGCCAAGTGGTAATATGGTTATGTACATCTTTACTGACAAATGCATGTGTTGGTTATCATCATCAATAAATATATTCATAATAAATAGGCAGGGATATAAGCAAACAAATTAAATGCCAATGCAAAAATAAAATCATTAGATATGTACTTTTTATGTACAAGTGTGAATCAGAGTCGCTAGGATAGATGGATTGTATAGGTTCGTACACTATGGAACATTAAAATAATTCATAATGTTAACATGTTACAAAACGGGTAGGAAATGGGATTGGGAATATATATAAAAATTTTGAAAAAAATCAACCGCTAGTGTTATATACCTACAGATGAAGAAAACGGAGCTCAAATGACCCTAGTAACGACAAAGAATGATTTTGTCTCTGTTCAGGTCTCTTGCCCTTGCTACCGTAATTAGGGCCTGGATTTTCCCGTTTTCTGTCAGGTGTCGCTCCAATATTTTAAGGCGAACCTAAATAAATGAACAGAACCGAGGCAATCTTTTATGTCTATAAGAGAGAATGCCTACTTGTCTAAGGCCAGACGCTTGGGGCAAGGATTAATCAGTTTTGCAGGGGAAATGTTGGAATACGTGACGTACATAGAAGAGACAGAGGCAGACACATAGAGGCAGAGATAGAGAGAGGAAGAGAAGTGGGGAGAGGGGGAAATATTTGCAGATTTGGTAGGAGAAAGATAGCATTTGATGAGGAGGGAGATAGGTGAAGAAGGAGGAAGCAGTAAGGGAGATGACGGACGGAGAGGCGAGAGAGGGAGGGTGGGGAGGGACAAGAAGAGGGTGAGAGGGAGAGTTGGGGAGAAAGGTTTAGAGGATAGGAAAGTGGGAGGGGTGAGAGAAGAGAAAGTTGGAGACGGGCGGGGATAGTGAAAGAGAGAGAGGGGGAGATTAGGACAGAGGGAGGGGAGAGAGACTCGGGCACATCCGAGTACTCTCCCTAGTATAATAAAGAGAATATAGTATGACTAATGAAGAACTAAATAACATGATAAAGATGCCCGATTCCAAATTACCTACCTTGTCCCTGCCTTTATTGATAGTAATACCATCATTTATATTATTGCTACTAATTGACAACTAATTTCCATCTTCAACTGCTATTTCCAATAAAATATTGAAGTTCTACTACAATTACTCACCTCTACTGCTAATTCCAGTATCACTATCATTCCTAATGCTGAGTGAACACAACGAATCCTGTATGTGGTGTTTTAAGGTTCGTTTTCAGAAGATTATATTAGATTAGGTTAGAATAAGTTAAAATAATAATTGCAAAAAAGTAAAACAGGTTTCTATGGCAATCTTCAGCATGCTTTCTAGGGCAATCTAGCGAGGAGCTTTCAATTCCAGATCACTAAAGGCAGCAGAAACGCATACTCAGGGTCTCTGTGTATATATGATAAGAGCTTTTTTAAATCCAGAACTGTGCCCAGGATTAAATGTATTTTCTGGTTGGTAAGTAAGTTATAAATTTTGGCTTTAAATCCCTCCAAAAGTTGATATGCTTAAGACCCACACCAAAAGAAGGCAAATCGTATCTTATGAGAGACAGCTCATCTCTCGTAATCAATCTAATTACAATGATCTCTCCAATTGGTCGCCGTGTAATTTAAACTAATAAAACCACATTGCTAAAAATCAGTGACCTTTTATACATGCAATTCACACCACTAATAACATAAATTGACACCAATCGCGTAAATAATATTAATTCGGTTGCTATTCAATTATACACATATGTTTTATAGGACACAGCAACAAACACAGCAATAAACGCAACAAACTGATGAAGCAAACAGACAGACATATTCCCGACAAAGTGATCATAATACGCTGTACCTACCGCCCTCTCCCGTGTTTAAGATCAGATCCGCAAGTTCACAGTTAAATGATAGATAATGAGCGATGCGTAGCGATGGCAATACGCTTCAACTGACCAATCAGGAGGTCGGTAACTCTGTAGGGTGCTGACGTCATCTAAAACTGAACATAACCAATTAGCGCGTGAATAATAATGACGTCATGCCACTGTCGCCTGACGTAACCAACCAGGATGTTGATCATGACCAAAGGCTTGGCTGTAAGTAACCTTTCATAGAGTGAACTGTAATGAAGTCATGTTAGTGGCGCTAAATTAAATTTAAAGTACATGACGTCATGTACTCACCTACCCCTACCTGGGTATGGGTAGGGACTTGGGTAGGGGTTGGGACCTGGGTAAGGATAGATATATGGGTAGGGGTAGAGACATACAGAGGGGAAAAGTTATCCCATAGTAATGACGTCAGAGAAGAGGATGTAAATATGGAGGGCAGCAGCAAAATATCACCAAAGTAATCATTGATTAAACGAGTCAATCAATCTTCCTGTTTAACTATTACTTTTCGTAACTATTTGGACCATCGTACATATATTGACGGAATGGTCAACTAGAGTGTAGAAGAATGATTTGGTACAATTCACTTATTGAGTCTGGAAAAAATAAAGCTAAATTCCAAACCTAAATATTCCCAGGCCTAATACAGCACATGCACATACTGTATTAGGCGAAGGTGCGTATTAGGCCTATAACATGGACTTTACGTTATTAATATGAAACACAAAATGTTAGATATTTCCATGAAGTATTATTTTCATTGTTATGATTTACTGTTTTGTGTGTTGTTCAGTTGTTAGAGACTACGATCACCTGGCTTAGCGCACGATCAACATGTCCCAGTAGGTAATGCACTGCCATCTTGACGCTGTACATCACACATTGAAATTCATATGTTTTAGTCAAAACTAAAACAACGTTGTATATCAGTGATCGGCCTCGATGGAATACGCGGGTTGTCTAGGTTCCAACGTCTATGGTTAGACAAAGGCACTTAAAATGTGACGCTTGTCAAGTCGTGACAGTGAACCCGGACAGGGCAACGGTACTCACTGAAAATCACTTTCAGAAATTTTGACAACAACCACATTCCTGTTACCACGGTTACTGCCTGAGGCATTGTGACCGCCACCGTCTACCGGCAGTCCACGGTCAATGGATACCTTGACCGCAATGTACGTGCTCTTACTGTAGTTTTAAACGCGTTTTTCTGGAATGATTTTCAGATCTGCGCTTCCAATGAATTATTTCGCAACGTTGAAAACATGGTCAACAATGGTGTTCCTGTCATCTTCGTTGTAGGGTGGCTGACACACTTCGGGTGCCAGCACTTCCCGAGCCCTGACAGCTGTAATTACAACGCAGTATTTTGTATAGGAACCAAATGAGCATCGCCTTCAAGACAGGTGGACACAAACTGAACGCATCGTTTACAACGATACTGAAAATCTGAAACTCAGAATTTACTACTCTTTATGACCACTCCACATTTCACCACGTGTACTTGCATCTTCCAGAAGAGGCGGGAGCAACGTCATTGTAGGAGACTGATGCCAGACCGCTGGACCATTACCTAACACAGTGCAGACACAGTATTCAAATCAAATTAACTCCGAGATTAACCAGCACAGAGAAACTGTTAAACACATTGGATATAACCTCAATGAAGCCACATAACGAGTCATACACATTCATCCACCGCCGAAGTAATATTGACATGAGTAACACTCGGTGGGCCAGCCAAAGGCTTAAGGCCCGCGCTGAAATATCCTTGCATAGAAACAAATCAACAGGAGTAAATTTATTAGTATTAT